TATATATATATATATATATATATATATATCACCTTCCATAGTTCAATTTTAAATGTAACACTATATACTTTGTGTAACATGGTTTGCCATAAAACAGATCAGCTGGCTTCAATCTATGCAGTTATCATGATTCATCAAACTTTAGACAACTATCAGTCATTCTAAAACCGAATGGGTGTAATCACCCTAGACTCATTTCCAATCACACCTGATATGAGATTAAACACCCAAAAAGCAGATCCTTTGTTCTCCTCGCTCAACCCCCACATCTTTGCCAAGAGAAGAGTCCAGTTGTAAGCATCATGACTGACCCATGTCAGCAGTAGAAGTCCAGTCACAAACACCAAAATCTACTTATGCTCAACTATAAAAGATCAATCACAATTACCAAAATTGACCTGATTTTAATCACAAGAAAGTCCCTCCTTCAATGATACATGGATGCAGGTCAAGTTAGAACTCATACAATCTATGATACCCAGCACCTTGCCATAAGGTAAGGTTCCCCAATAAACACATGTCAAAAGTGGATTCTAATCCCCTAACCTCCTCTCATCACTTTTCTGTGAATTAATAAAGTGCACTATGAACACCTGAGCTAAATCAAGAATGGTATAGATCACTAAGACCATCGAAACATGTTCATCCTCTCAATAAAGTACCACGTGAAAAGCTAGAAAATCCAAGCAGGAATGCATGGAAATGCATTGTACTAACGGTGACAGTGTGATCAAGTCAATTCTGTTAGTTTAAAACCATTAGCCAACATTTAATGAAGGATCATAGAGAACCAATAAAATATGCCAGAAATATTAAACAAAAAATTCAGCAACAGCATGCTAACTTACTTTTTAAAATGATTTGTTTTGCCATAACAGACTTTTCAGAAAATCACAAGATGTATGAGATAAGTCCCAAATTATACGGTAATCATCAAATAAGTGAAAGATTAACTTTCATTAAAAATGCAACCGGCTAATATAACATCAGTTCAGATAACTAAAAGTACAATTTAAGCATAGCAAATTAAGACTTAGGGAAAGTTCTTAACAGGAATAAAAATATTTTCTATCGTAAGGAGCATAAAATAAAATTGATTAGCCTTTTGTTTTAACAAAACCACTTACTGTGTTATGCTGGAAAGAGCCAAATGTTGTCCTTGTTAAAGATGCTGCAGATGGAGATGTACTATGGGTGTGATGCAACTGTCGTACATGACTGTTGTTCTTAGCTGCAGCATCTGATTCCCCACCTGAATCACTACCAAAATTAACCTCTACAGTAAGCTTGGGGACCTGCTTCACAGAACCCATTTCCAGTGTCATCTCTGCTTTTTGGGGAATAGAAGGATGTAAAACAGGTGACTGCATGCTCCGCCTTTTTATTTCTTCTTCGGCATTTAAGATCTGTTGGACAATGGAATCTACAGATTTCAGAAAGAAAAACACTTTGTTGCCTCTCCTATACTGAAACTTAAGAAAAATTTTCATGAACTAATTGATGTATCATCATTTCTCTAGTTTCGTTATCAGTACAATCATTTCAACAAACTAGTGCATAAACATACAAATCAGAAAACATTGCCATGCTTGAATCCAACTTATATTGTTAGTTGATATTTTGAGATTTTCTTAACAATCCCATAAAACCGAGCTATAGCATTGGAAATAACCATACTAAATGAAATGGATAAACGTATTGAAAATGAAGCTTACCTGCTTCAACATTTGGACGAGATTGTGTTTCTTCTCATTCAAGACATGCAACTTCTTCTCCAAGTCTCGTTTTCTTTCCTCCTTGTCACTAACAACATCAGATTTGTTTCTCACCTAGGAGGCAGTGCCAAATTAATAAAACAAAGCAGTATATGAGCTAAAGACAGTGGACTCTAAAGTCTGGCATTCATACAATTCTCATAGATACAAGAATGATGGACAAAACAGTTAGGTCAATGAAGTCCCGAGTGTCATAAAAATAGACATCAACTGAGTAAAAATTATCTAAGACTGTTAAGAAGATTGAAATGTTATTCCAAGAAGCCATAGAAAAATTCAAATATGGAAGAAGAATTGATTGAAGTCTGACACAATCAAGGGCATTATTCAAAGTACAAGCTGCAGGTTACTAATTGTGTTCTTTGATTCTATTTAAGTATCTTAGAGTTTATGCACATCCATCGCAGGATGAAATACATGATAAGCACAGGCAGGTAAAATTTGGGAGAATAATTGATGAAAACATAAAAAAACCAAGAACCGTATTTAAAGTGAAAACCACAAATTACTTTGTGTGATCTTTGGATCCATTTAAACATTATAGACTTTTATGCACATCAGTGGAAGAAACTGCACGTGATAAATACAAATTCTAATATACCTTCTTCCCTAAAGCTATGACATTCCTGCCAGAAAGGTCGAATTATCAGAACTGAATGGTGGTAGAATAAATAGAATTTTATGATGTCTACCCATACTAAAACCTCACAATTGGCACATTGTTAATCTAACAGCCATTGCTAGGTGTTCCTAAGTCACCCATGAAACTAATACCATTATAATGACCTAAGTACTAACTCGGAGCTGCTAGAAAAAGGAAGCAATAGTATTCATTGGTTACCTTACTTGCCCAAGACTTTTCAAAAAGCAAATCCATTGTCAAGCTGAAAAGAAACTATAGAAGCAATTCCATTGCTAGCTTATCCATCTGAAAACATGTCAATAGTACCTTCTCTCAATGACTAATAATCTAATCTATCACTCCAAAAATGACAACACATAAGCCACCTCCATCACCACCTAAATCGTACTAAAATTGAACTTAAATAAGTTCAATATCAGAGTGTCCATATTTGCTGCCATATCAATCTCTTCATAGAAAGTAAATATGGCTACCAAATTCGGTTTAGTCACGAGCCACAAAATGACCAATCCATGCTCTAGATATATGATCCAAAACCACATAGGTCTCTCCTCCTACAAAAGGTAAGGTTGCTAGCAATACAATTTTGAGGGTCAACAAACCATCATTATCTTGCAGGCAGATAGACTTTGACCCAAACATCAAGCTATATAACTACCCCAAGCAATTAAATTATACTATTCCCCCAAAAATATCCAAATAGCAATTAAACTTCATTTCCTCACAATACCCCCTTGAGAAAAGTTATATAACTACCCTCTCTGAACTTTACTCAGAATCACCCCAATGGGGACCAGCTTCAACAGAGTTTATAGTTCAATTCCACCCTGATCATATTTGTAAAAACCGTAAGCTTCCAAAATATGAGAAGCAAGCCTAGCTCCAGAAAACCAAACAAGTTAGATTGTTAAGGAATCAGTTAGACTGGACCAAACAAAATCAGAAATTAAAGCCTTATCGTTGTTATTGTTGTGAAACAAAGCCTGGACTAAACTATATAAGAGATGTCAATTGGAGCAAAAGATGCTTTATCTTGTATATTCTTGTGAAAGGAATCTTAACAAGTTTTTGTTCAGTTCCTTCTCTAATACCCTGAGCTCGAAGAAGGAAGTCCTCAATAATCTATGAAATGTTAAATAGCTTTGAATTGCAGCAATTTTTCCCAGACACCAATTTGATCTCTGTATATCTTCTCTTATTTACAGATAAACACAATTTCTTTCATCTGATATGTGGTTCCTTTCATTTTCCAATTATTTTGATATTTACCATTGCTTAGCCTCTTCTCAATAAATTTCTAAGAAACACAATCTCTGTATATCTTCTCTTATTTACAGATAAACACAAATTCGGTTAGTCATGTAGTTTTTGCTCCATTCTCTACTGTGATTGCCCTAATCTACTAGTCCATCATCTCTTTACAGCAGAAGATTATTGGGTAAATGAAAGAAATGGAAAATTGATTAACTAGCAAAACATGGACTCGGTAGCATCAGCAACATAATCCACGAGGTTTCATGGAACACAGAAATAAAAGAATCAACTCCAAGCGCACCTCTTACCTCAAATTTTCCATCGACTACGCCGGCTTCACCAATTTTCGAATCACGAACCTCCTCCTCCTCCCGAGTGGAAGGCGCACCGGCCGGAGCATCTGAAGCGGAAGCACCGACCTCGGACTCTCGAAACGCCTCATGATCCCTCGTCTCTTCCTTGCACTTCGGCTGGGAATTCGAGGGTTCGGGATCGAGAACAGAAGAATACTCCCGTACAGAGAGGCCAATCTTGGCTCCATCGTCGTCTCCCTTGACTTCCTCCTTCGATTTCCCCTCAACCTTGACATCTAGGGTTGTGGCGGCAACGGGGGCGGCAGAGAGGCGAGAAAGGGCCTCGGACCGCTTGCGGATGAGGATCTTAAACTGGCAGAGGGAGATGGCAGGCGGCGGCAACGGCCACCTCCGCGGGACGTCGGGGACCCGGTGGAGGTTGCCGCGGTAGAGAGAGATCGCCACCATCGTCTCTCTTCGTTTCCTCTCCGCTGTTTACCGAATGAGTAATAGCAAAAGGCAAAACAATATAAAGCGAAGGACAAAAAAAAGAATCGAGAATAACAATATATATATATATATATATATATATATATATATATATATATATATATATATATATATATATATATAATATTCTTCTTATTCAAATGAACTAATGCTGACAATGATTAAT